AATCACAGTCCTCAAGCAAGGGAACCTAGCGCCAGAAAAGCTACCTACAAACAAATAAAGAAGTCAGTCGATTCTGTTAAAAAAAAAGAAAAAGGGAGATCGAAACTTTGAGCCCCGATCTACGTCGATCGGGGCTATTTTCGGTGAAAAAGAGATTGGATTTAGGAAGATCGCATCAAAGAGAACCACCAGAAGAATTTTGACATTTTTCGGTAACTGAAAACCACCGACAGTGACTGTCGACGGTGACCCAGACGACGATCGGTGCGGTGATCCGACGACCGGACGGCTAGCTATCCCCAGAGCTCTCTCCCCCTTTTTTTTTTGAAAAATTGAAAGAATGAACAAATTTTTTTTTTCAGTTATTTATAGAAAACATTAAAAGCAAAAGGACGCCATTTTGAACATAGGACCAAAACGACACCGTTTCGATCAAGGAGGATCCGCGCGTCAACCCGCGACCCGACTCGGGGTCCGTGCACCCGACCCGACGACCCGTTTCTCCATCAGCTTCTGATCGATCTGACTGAATCGAAATTGAACCGTCCAGACCGAGCTGAACCGCCAGATCAAACCGTCGAACCGAACCGTACGTTGACTAGACCGTTCACCGATCCAGTTCAGGTATAAAATTTTTTTTTTTAATTTTTCTTATTTTTTATATATTATTTTATTAATATTTATGCATATTAAAATATTTATATTTGTTATATTAAATGGTGAAACATGTGGTTAAATTCGTTTATAATTTTGTTAATTTTTAAAAGAAACTTTAAAAACAATAATATAAAAATAAATTTAATTAATAAAAAAGTAATAAAAAAATGTAAGAAAAGGAAAATTTTATCCAATGATGAGATTCAAAGGTATTTCGAGTAGTGATGCCTACGAAATCTTTAGGTGAGAAGATTTTTTTAAAATGTTATCAGTGTATTAGAGTATTTATAAAAATTTTTTCAGTATAGTAAAAATTTTTTTTTAAAGTAATAAATAAAAATTGATTAATATAACAAAAATAAGTAATAAAAATGAGAAGAAAATAAATTTTATCCAATGATGGGATTATAAAAGTATTCCGAGTAGAGATGCTTTAAGAAATCCCTAGGTGAGATGATTTTTTTAAATATTACCAGTGTATTGACATATTTATAGAAAAACTTCAATGCAAATAACATTTTTTTTTCTTCAAAATTAAAAATAAAAAAAATTAATAAAATAATTAATAAAATTTTTGAAAAAGAATAAAATGTGTGCATCAACATGTTATTATTTGCATTGCATACATGACATAATTTTTTTACGAAAAGTAAATTTGGACCTCCAAAGATGATATTCTAAAAGTATTCCGAGTAGAGATGCTTTAAGAAATCTTTAAGTGAAAAAGAGTTCTTTTAATGTTACCAATGTAGTGAAATATTTTAAGAATAATTTTAATAAAAAAGTTTTAATTTATTTTTCTCGAAAATAAATTTTTTTTTAATAAATAAAAGAAATCAAGGAAATTATTTTTCGAACACAGAAAATTGGACTATTTTTATCAAAAGAAAAGGATAACACGTTATTAATTGGTATTGTTTTTAATGGGCGCTGTGGGGTGCTAATCCTTATCCACGCATAATCGACTCCCGAACCCAGACTGTTTCGTAGATCGTAAAATTATATTTTTAATAAATTTTAATTAATTTTAAAATTTTTTTAAAAGGATATGTTTTAGTAGGTGACCAATTGCACATAACCAAAAAAGATTAGTGATGACTCCGTTATTTTTTATTTCGTTTTCAAATTCGTCGGACGGACACAAAACCATTACGACACTATTGATTCCTCTATTCAATGAGGACTGTGATTTTTATTTTTTTTTGTGTTTTTGGTGCTTGTGTGTGTAGATGTTTTTTTTTTTTTTTTTTTTTCTTTTGTAGAACCTAGTAGCTTAAACTCCATTTTTTTTTACAGTATTCTCCCTTGAGGGTTTTTTTTTTCGTGTTCTCATTTGCTTAACTTTTATAAAACCAATTTAGCCTTCAAATCCTAAATAATCGAGGATTCAATAAGACTTTTATGGCCTTTTAATTTTTGTTACAAAATTAAGTCTGTGACAAAGAAAAAAAAAATTATTATGGCAGTTTGATTTTAACTACTAATGTTAAAAGCAAAGTTTTAATTTTTTAATTTCATTATTATTATTATTATTATTATTATTTTGGACAAAATAGGTTTCCACAAACCATAGTATCCTTTATTATTGAGTTAATGATTAAGGGTTGCGGTTCTTCAAAAGGTTTTGCAGTCAACAGCTATCCAGAAAGCAAATTAAAGAACGACTATTGATATTTAGGTTATTCAAATCATGTGGCATGGATGAAAATGTCGCATTCATGAAGATAGAAATAACATATGCTATGATTTTAGAACAATAATATAAAGAAAATGAAGTAGAAGTTGTTTGAAAAGCAAAAAGGTAGGTTGTTGGAAAAAAAGAAGAAAAAGCGAGAGACATCGAAATCTATTGAGAAAATATATGGGAGATCAGAAGAATCCAGATAGAAATTAAAAACTTTCTCATTCTATTTCTTCATTTTCTTTTTTCCAAATCATTATTTTCATTTCTTTTTTTTTTTTCATTCTTTTTCACCTAATGCTATTTTTTTTCATTAAATTGTTGAATTTATGCTAAGACAACATAAAAAATTAAAAGGCCTAATTTGTTCAGTATTTGATTATTTTTTAAGCTAATTTTTTTTAATATGTTTGCATATTTAGATTATTCTATGTTTGATCGAATTGTCTCAATGCATGTGATGATAGTTTTTATTTTTAAAATTTTTTTTATGGTTTTAAGGTTGACTTTTTTAAGTTTGACTATGCAGAGTTTTTATTGGCCTTTTTTTTTTTTTAATTTGAGGTGTTAAATGCTTTATTTATATATTTATAATCATCTCACTATTTTTTTTCTTTAAAGATTCTTTGTACTTTTTGACATGCAGCTGTTTATATTTTTATAAATTAATTTTAATGATTTATTTTTACATATCTTACACAAAAATAATATATCTTTGCATGCATCTTCTCTCTAAGTTTGTGAAGGATTTGTGTTGTTCTACCATTTAAATTGTCATTTTGTTTTAATCTTGATTTCTTGGGTAACGGGTCTAAGATTGTTCATTTTAGTATTAATAATTTTTTGAATTAAATTTGATGTTCAATTGTATCATTTTTATTACTCTATTTAGTTTTCTATGAACTTTTCCAAGTAAAAATAGATGAAAAACACTTTCATTATTGAATGCACTTTTCTTTAAGTAATAATAATTTTTTTCAATGTACCTTTAAACTTCAAATGCTCTAAAAGTTAAAGTATTTTATATATCAATCGGTAGTTTTCAAAAAATTTTCAAAAATTATATAAATTTTATAAATATTTTACAATATTTATTATAACAATAATAATAAATTAAAAAATAATATAAAAATTAAAATCTACGGTGCAACGTGGGCTTCACTCTGGTACTGTTGTAACATTAAAATAAACCCATCGCTTTGCTCTTGCCAGCTGTGATCTCTAACTTTGACAATTGGCTAATTTCATTGGCTGTGAGGTGGTTTTTTTATTTTATTTTATATATATATATATATATAATTTTGTAATGTTTTGGGCTTTGGTCATTGGGCCAAGGTTTGGAACTTTAAGGGTTTGAGTTTTTGGATTTAACTTCTTTTTTGAGCCTTTTTTTGTAAGGGTGGGTATTTGGGTTACTTTGTATCTTGGGTTTCTTTAAGGTCTCTACTGCAGGCTAAAAAATTTTTAGTTTTTTTTTTTAATTGATTGACAGAAATGTTTATAATTCAGTTTTAGAATTTCACACCGAATTAAATTTAATTAATCGATAGATTATAAAATTAATTTTAATTAATTAAGAAAAATGATTTAAAAAAATTTATTTTTGATTAATTTGATTTGAAAATCAAATTAATTGAATTAAACAAAATTTTAACATAAATATAGAGATTTAAATATAAAATAAAAATATATGAAATAGATTATTTTATTTCATAAGTTATTAGAGTTTTTAACATAATATTTTGTTATTTGAATATTTTATTAGATAATTTTATTTAATTTATTTAAAATATAAAATTAAAAGTTTAAAATATAATTTAATTTAAATATATTTATTATTCGATTAATAAAAAAATTAATGGAATCAACAAAATTAAATTCAATTAATTAATTTTTAAAATTAATAAATTTAATACTATTAGAAAAAATAAAATAAAATAATTTAATCAATTTAATTTTAAATAATTTAATTCAAAATTAATCGAATGGATAAAATAAACACCTCTTTGGCCTTTTGTTTTTATGGTTGGATATTTTGGTTCATTTTGAATTTTTTGGTTTTGATAATTTCATTATTTGTTAATGAAACTTTGGATTAATAAATACTTTATTAATTTTAGTTATTTGTACAAATAAGTTTTATTAATGTGAAACCGAATTTTTAATTACTTGAAAAAAAATAATTCCAATAATTAGTAATTTTGGGTAATAAAAACTACAAATATTATTTGTCTCATACAAAAACGTTTTCTTTAGCAATTAACCGTTCATTTGCCTGGCTCTCTCCACCGTCTCTACTATCTGCTCTCGCTGAAGAAACGAAATTGTGTCTGGTTGGTCCCGCTCTTTTTATCCACCGAAATCACAGCCTGGCCCTTCCTCCTTCTTCTGTGTAAGCTCTCCTTTTTTTTTTTTTAATTTCTTTTCCTTTTCTTTTATTTTTTTCCACCTTTAGCTTCACCTGTAAGAATATGTCCTTTTTTCCTCTCTCAATGCACGAATTCATCACAACTATTCTTCTTTTTTATTCCTCATTGATTTTCTAATCTGGTTATTCTTAGTTTCTGTAAATGGGATTTTCTTTTTAATAAATTGTCTTTTTCTTTTTCCAGTTAAAGGCTTTTCCTTTTCTTAGAGGGACAAAGAGAAAAAATATGTTTTCTCTCAATTGGATGTCAACAAAATTTTTTTTTTTTGGTAATTCTATGGTCATTTCCTTTCTGGGTTTTTTGAACTTTAATGATAGTCACCTTTAAAACTTATTCATTGCTTGATAAAATGTGCTCTGTTTGTGCGGAAAATGGAACATGATCATGGGTGTCAACAAATGCCCTTTCTTTTCGATGTTTGAACCTTTTTCTATTAGAGTTTCAGTTAAAATTTCTATTTTGAGGACTGTTGTTTGAAATTCTGTTGAAGATCATATGATTGTTTAATGTTGGTGCCTGGGATGAGAGTTCCACTTGCACAACTTTATTTTTGCTTGATTAAAGTGAGTAAAATGTTGAGATTTTTGGACTTGAGAAATTAAAATATGGGTTTAGAAAATGACCTGGGATTTTCTTGTCAATTTGCAGGATGGGAAGGGTTAAACTAAAAATAAAAAGGTTAGAGAGCTATAGCAACAGGCAAGTTACATATTCCAAACGCAGAACTGGAATCTTGAAGAAAGCTAAGGAATTGTCAATATTATGTGACATTGATATTGTCCTTCTCATGTTTTCTCCCACCGGAAAGCCTACATTATTCCACGGAGAGCGCAGGTATTGTAAGAATGGAATAATGGCTTAATTTCCTTGCAGGGAATAATTTAATGTTCCACAAGAAATTTATTCTTCATTTTGCCATAGATTACTTTTTTCATGATAGTTATGCTCATCATTGCTATTTCTTGTGCACCCTGGTACCATTTTTTAGAAACATTTAAAGTCTTGTTTGTTCGCAAATTATAGCCACATTCAACCTTTTGATATCTATTGGCTTTCATTAGATGGAGAAATCTGTTTTATATCAATATCATGTATAACAATAGGGTAAGACGTAGAAGGTACAGTGGTAATTTGTGTATGTTTCATTTTAACTGCAGATAAAGATACAAATTCTTATGCAGGTGTGAGGTGTCCCTTGCATTTTCGTTCTTAGACAATTTTGATAATTACTCAAATTAGTTAGTAAGCTTGGTGGACTAGGATTTGAATAATGTATTGTTTGCGATTAGAAGGATAACATGTTTGAAGAAGAAATAAAGTAAGGTAACAAATGGGGTTCCCTTTGTTTCTTGTTTGCTTTTTCCAGCAATATTGAAGAGGTTATTGCAAAGTTTGCACAATTAACACCACAAGAAAGGGCAAAAAGGTGTGCGCTCCAAAATTTTAACTTCTTTCATTTAATTGTCTGTTTGTATTCAAATGGCATTGCAGCTAACTCATTTTCGTTGATTTGCAACAGGAAGCTGGAGAGCCTCGAAGTAAGACTCTTGCGACTCATAATATGTTCTGCTTCCTTCCTCACCAAGTGAAGCTTAATGCATTATGCACTTTCCTCAAGCTAATTTTGGTTCTTCTTATTGAGAATATAGGCACTGAAGAAAACCTTCAAGAAGTTGGATCATGATGTAAACATACAGGACTTTCTATGTGCAACGTATGTTACCTTTATTTCAGTTTCTTCTGGATAATATGTTTCTGTTTAAGTAAGAGATGAGAAGAATCTAAATTCTTTTTTTGCCCCTTGCAGCAGTCAATCTGTTGAGGTATGAAGTTTGCTGTCATTACCTGTGACCTTTTTGATGTTGGATTTTCAAGTTATTTTTAATTTTGTTAGGTTTCTGGAAAATTGCTATTTTCAGGAAATGACTAATGAAGTATCAGTGTTGCAAGCTCAGCTTACCGAAGTACAGAAGAGACTGAGGTGCACCTTTGTGGCTTTTGGTTATTAAAGTATTGCTTTTTCTTTTTGGTTTTGTTTGGAAATGTTATAATGAGTAACTAAAATCTTACTTTTTTAGTTATCGTGTTACAGAAAATTATATTTGTATTTAATTTCATAAGCAGCTTCTCCCTATTCTACCTCCCCAGCTTTCATACCAGAAGTATAATGATCAGAGCCTTACAGGCTCTCATGTTTTTAAACTCTAAATAATAACATCAATGCAGTGGAAGACTTGCAACCTTTATGCATTATAACATCCTTTATACTGAGCTTTAGACCCTAATGAAATACTTTTCTTAGTTGGGTGTTTTAGGTTAATGTTTTCTCAAGGACAGAAAATACAAGATGCATTGTCACTTAACTGACTGAAAAAGTAATAGTCATTCTGGTTCTAAAAACCTCATTCAGCGCTATGTTTTTGCCACAACTCAACCTCTGTAACTGTTGTCAATCAATAGCTGGCTGTAAGCTTTGGATGATAGTGATTAATTGTTGATTTTGGTTGTAACTTTATGTGCATTCTGTCTATCTCCTTTATTTAGCTATGTTCCTTCTTAACCGTTTGTGTTTATCGGCACAGTTCGGGCAGAAACATGTGCGTTAACATTCATATTATCACTGTAGGAACATGATTTATTTTCTTTATGGAGTAATTGTTATATTATCATGCAATGATTTCAGCTACTGGAGTAATCCAGATAAAATTGACAACGTAGAACATCTTAGGCAGATGGAAGATTCACTTAGAGAATCCATTGAGTGTATCCGTATACACAAGGTATGGTGTTTTCTTTTAGTAATAGTGACCTTCTGCAGTGCTTTTTATCTTTCAAAGTCAGAGATGCACAAACAAATATACACACTTGCTCACATGCATAGATATATAAAGTATAATCAAGATATTGCATGTTACTTGGTTCAAATGATAGTGCTGTTAAACTGCATTAAGGGTTACTTATACCAGATTCTGATGAAAACTGTTTGGTTCTTTACCCTTGTGATCGATACTGTTAAAGAATGCTAATTGATTTACCAATTGAATAGAATCTGAGCCATATTTTCCTATAAATTAGTTATGCCTACTACTTTATTTGCAGGAAAACTATGGAAAGCACCATCTTATGTCACTAGAATGCAATAGCCAGGTAGCAAAGTATTTACTCTCTCTCTCTCCCTGTGGTTTGGGAGAAATATCTTACCACTTACTCTGGCTTACAGTTTCAGAATGGGATACCTTTGCCTATGATGATTGGTGGGACGCAAGAAGCCCAACCCGTTACATGGCTTCCCAACAATGAAAATCAACATATGTTATTGCATAATGAACCAAACTTTCTACCTCATCAGTAAGACTGTTTTGGATATGTACCTTCAAATTCATTTCCTGTTAGTCTTTTGGGATATTAAACTTTATGAATATAAATTTCTACTTGAAAATAACCTTGAGTCTCATGGCCTACCAGCAGACAAATTGTTGTTTTTATCTCAAATGTATTGCTGCAGAAGTAGCATATAAATCGCATTTTGATTTTTTGGTGTTTCTCTTGACCATTAGCTGACAAGTTTGTTTTTTGCTTCAGAGATACAGAGTGCTCTGCAGATGGCTCCCTTGCCGGCTATTCTGGTTTCTTTGTCTCTGGTAAACAAACAGAGATAGGGAGTTCAGGACAAGTTGATAATGTAGTACAGGAAAGTAATGCCCTGAATGAGTTAGGGAGTAATGCTTGCTTAAGTGTGGAACTTGGTGAGCAATATTTCTACCCGCCGTATAGTGCTTCAAATTTGCAAGATAATGAGAAGCTGAGGCCAGAGATGGAGGCTAACTTACAAGGAAATCCTGCTGTTTTCCAAGTTATTAACAACTTTGAGATCCCTAGACCAATGTATAATAGTGGGCATCAAGCTTGGGTATCTTCTTCTGGCCCTTGTAGCATTGCAATGTTTGATGGGAATTCTTACCAGCAGGTGAAGATTTTCTTTTATCTGATCCATCCTCAACTCTATAGAATATAAGCTAGTGGATTCTTTTATTTTCTGTACTTTTAGTGATGCCTAGTTAAACTATTCAATCATGTCGCAGTTTTAGATGATAAAAAGACATTGAAAGGGATAAAATCTACTTGTCCAACAATTTTTATGGATTGGCTTCATTTTTTAGTAAAAATTTTTGGCTTAGATCGTAATCTGCATTCCTGCCAACAGTGCCATTAGCCAATGATTTTAACGTTGTGATTATCTGTCCTTGCTAATTCCCTTCAATACAATCATCATATTCATGTCATGACAATAATGATGAAATTAATGGCAGGAATAAACTCTGCTCTTTTCATGCTTTTAGGGCATCAACAAGCATATACTCAATTTTGTTTTATTAATCTAGTTTTAGTTCTCACTTATGATACTTTTAGTTTATTGTGTTCAAGAAATTGAGTCTGCCTGCAAAGTCAATTGATTCTGACAATTGTTTGTTGCAGCAAACTGATTCAACTTTCATGAATCAGACACCTCCATCTGGTCAGTGTCACAATTTGTAGCTGAAGGACTTGCATATGTGCATCAGAATCTGAGCATATCCTGCTTGTGGCCATTTGTTTTGATAGAATTGGTCCAATAATGGAATTAATAGGTGAAACATGCAGCACTGCCCAAGAGATGGACTAATGTCACCTGGTCATTTTTTGCTGCTAAACATATTTATTGTATATTTAGTGTAACCGTTACCAGATTACTGGCTTCTGTATGTGAACTCGTTTTCTTTTTTTGTTTTTGTCTTTTATTTTTCCTAACACAATTTTCAAGGGGATGGGTCTTGAAATTATTGCCCAGTCCCCCAACTTGTACACTATAATACTCTGTAGAAAATGAAAATAACTTTTGCTACCATTAGTTTCAGTTGAAATGGATGGTCTGCTGGGATCCTTTTTATTATTATTATTATTTTGATATAAAGGGGATTGTAATTGATAAGAGAAAGATTGCAGATTTGAAGTCCGAATTTGTAAAGATTGTTATTTTGTCGTTTGTATCTACTGCTCTAATTTCTTTAACAGGCAAAAGTGTATAATTTGTGAACGAAGTTGATATAAATAATACTAAAATAGATGCAATCTGGAGTTCCCCTATACATTGAAGGTTCCTTGTTTACATGTAATGTGCTTATATCTTACTCGAAAAGCATTCACTCGAGTTTACAAAACACAGGAACATTGATCTACAACTCAAACTTCAAATCGATTTAGTAACCCCTGATTGTGTTGATGATTGTGTTGTGCCATGGGTCTGACAGGTGCTGCAACAGATTCTCAAAGGGCCCTTTGCCAGTTACATTGTATTGAACAACAAATCCCAAGAATGCCAGCATTGCCAATCTCCCTGCATAAATCAAACAACACAAGCTTAGCCCAGTTATATATACAAATATTTCACAACTAAATAAACCAGACTCTTGAGGTATATTATATATACCATTGGCAAGCTCCTTTTCCTTGGCCTCAAGGGTCGGTGCAAAGTTGAGGGGGTTGAAAACGCTGCCAGGGTAGCCACATTCATGTGGAGGCAAGCTGTATTGCTTGAAGATAGGGTCTTGGTTCACACATCCTGGGTTTTTAATGTCTTGCCACCTTCTGATCTCCACATAGTGGAACAAAATGAACTCAATAACGAAGAGGGTTGATGAGGATGCAAAGTATTCTGCTTTCCCAGCATCATACCATTGAGGAGCATTGATTATACCAATCTTAGTGAAAACTTCAGGCAAAATCATCCCTACAACGCCCAACATAGCCCAACGACTGTTCACAAGCTCAGCTTGAATATACCATTTCAAGTTCTCCGGGTCCTCAGCCAGTCCAAGAGGATCAAAACCATTGTCACCAGGAAGACTGCAAGTCTATACAGGTTTAGTTCCCAGTTCATAATCATTAAATGACTTCAGCTAGATAATTATTAAAAGAATGTACCTGCCGTCGAGGTAAGCTGGTGAAGGCAGGCCTGGCAACCACTCCCCTTTCTTGGCTTCAACTCTGAATGAGCTAGATGATTTAGAATCCATTGGTTTAAAGGAAACTTTTCTGTTTAACTTACCAGGAGACCCAGTAAGAAACCTTGTTTTCAATGCCAATGGCCGGAAAACGGCAGCTGAGGCTTGTGTTGTTACCGTAGCCATGATTCAGGGTGGAAAATGGGTGTGGTGTAAAGAGGGAGCAGCAGGGATTTGCTTTGTATTTCAATCTTATGGAGCATTCATGTGGTTGTCATTAAACGTTGGAAGCTGATGGTTGTTTGATTGATTTTTTGTGGATCCAGCGGTTGAGGTGAATTGAGGCTTATCCCTTTATCTGGGTTCCATATCCACAAATCTCTTTCCTTGTTGCTGTTGATCGAGAAAATATCATCTGGGACCCATTTTGGGTTACATAGGAAGATTCCTATGCCACGTGGGATATTTTACACCAATGGTTTCTTGACATGTGGCTATCAAGGTTACACCTTAGCAAAAGATATCCATTGGGAACATGACAAAATAAGAATGGTCATATTTTGTCCTTAGTCCTTGTACTGTTTATTTTTTAGAATTTAATTTCAGAAATTTAATTTTTATATTATTATTTTTAAAAAATTTTAGTTCAATCATTAATAATATATAAAGATTAAGTTTTTTAAAAAATAATATTATAAAAATTAAATTTTTTAAATAATATTCATAAAAATTAAATTTTTAAAAAATAAAAAACTATAAAAACTCATGACACATTTTAACCATTAAGAATAATTGAAGCAGGATTTCCTGTAAAAATAGAGTAAATTCCGACTATTACGTTAGAATCTCATTGCCATGCCATCCATTCAATCTTCAAAGATGATAGAATATAAAACAAATTTCCTCTATAGCATTATAGTTTGATCTATCTTCCTTTCTTTTATGAGAATATCATTTGTAATTAAGTACTGTAATATATAAGTAAAATCCATTAAAATATAACGTGAAATAAAAATTTATAATTAATAAATTTTTACATAATTTTATATTATGATTAAATAATTATAAAATTATATATGATAATTTAATTATCCTTAACCATGTTTATAAACACCCATTAACCGAACCTTTAAAAAAAATTGCAGACGAAATACACTCACTCGCCTCATCTTGATTAATTAAGTAAGCATAAATATTGTGCTTTAATTTTCCTGAATATTTCTCCAATTTCTAAGATTTTTATGTGCATTTCATCATTTTCTCTTCTTCTATAATTTTAGAACTTCTAAATGCAAACATCAGGAAAATCTTCGTGTTTATGTATGTATACACCGAAAGCCTCAACTTAATACTCTTAATTGAAAAATATCTTTTTTGTAGGGACGACAAAGTTAAGGGCTTCTCATTTTCCCACCTCATCATAGATTTTTTTTTTCTCCCAACAAATATCAGGGAGATGTAGAAATTCTCCAAAATGTTTAGCTTGATATAGAATTATGATTCGATTACAGTATTATAAGAATCATCTTTTATATATAAATAGTATTTTCTCAAATTCATAAATACATAATTATTTTTCTTTAACATATTAAACATAAAGAAGGATTCACTTATATCAATGCCAAATTAAAAAGTTTTGTATTTTTTAAATTATTAATTTTAATAAATCAAAAGAATGAGAAAATCAAGTGAAAAAAAAGAAAAAAAAAGTTAATTTCATCCTTTGGATTTATTAAAATTAATAATTTAAAATATATATAAAATTAAAAATTTTTTATATTATTTTATCATTTTTTATATGCTAATGGTTTTACATATCTCCTAACATTTTTTATATTTTGTTCAACAATTTATCAAGATCACATTAATGAAAGTATGCCAATACTTTTTTAATGTTTTAATTTATCATTTAACAATATATATAAAAAAAACTATAAAGAGTGCTATATGTCCATTTCTAATAAAATTATCAAATTTATATTTGAAAAAAACATGACGGTCGATTTTTTCTATTTAGATTTGATATATGATATTACACTATCTTGCATGTGGAAGGATACATTCATGCTGTCAAACATAGTTTCATATTGTGTAATTTTATCTCAATTTTTTGCTTTATTCTTCAATAAATTGTAATTGTTAATTAAATTTGAAAAGAAATATATTATTTTCAATTTCGTTCACTTTTCTCTTTTTTTTATTATTTTTTTTAAATTTGTTTCTTTAAAGCTCAGTTTTTGCTTTTAATCGACATTGTATATTTAAGAATTCAAATTTATTTTATTATAAATAAATAAATATTATGTTTAGATAAAAAAATTCATGATTATTGATCTGAAAATTCTAATTGAAAATTATAACATAATATGCAGAGGCAAAGCTGGTAAATTGAAAAGGGGAGCAAATAATAAATTCAAGAGAGAAGAAAGGACCAAGTATAATATATGGTGGGATTAATTACAATTCTATAAGGAGGCTAAAAATTGTTGTGGAGCTGTTGGCCATGCCTGTCCCCTTGGCTACACTCTAGTACTATATTATAAATTTTGAAAACTTGAATACAATTTTGAAAAAAAAAATATTAATTTGTTTGTATTTATATATATATATATATATATATATTTAAATAGGTAAAATAAATCTGTGCACCGCATAAATCATAATCTAATTTGTTTATAAAATATCTTAAGAAAACAAGAAATTCCTCAACTCCTTTGCATCTATGAACCCATCCTTATTTCCATCGAATAGATCAAAAGCTTCTTTAAACCTCCTTAGACTTGGTTCCTCTTCCTCGAGCAGCCCAGCAATTTTATCTGCGCTTAGACTGTCTTGAATTTCACAGCTTCCTAATTTGCATATCTTTTTCAAATCTAAGAAACAGAGATTTCGATGACATTGCTTGCTGTTTGATCTCTTGTAGTTTAATCTGATAAGCTACATTAATATTGTTGCTGTTGGTCCAACATTTCTCAATTGGTTTTAAATAATAGCATTTATGTGAATGAAAATTAAAAATAAAATGAACATAAACATGCATAGAAATAAATGGTTCGGCCGTGATTATCTATATCTACGAGAGAAAAACTCAAAGGGTTACATTGTAAATATTCTGATTGTATTCTGATTTATATAAAAGAGCAATGGAACTCCCTTTACAAAGAGAAGATTTTATCTAATTAACAAAATAATCTCATACGACATCATAATTTCAGATGTTATTCTAATTATAATATCATAATACGTAACTTTTGCTTACATAATTATAGAAAATTACGTAATATTGCCTTTAACATGGACGTTTAGCGGTTATTGCAGGCCAGGCAGCGGTCCAAATACAAGAAAGGATTCGCTGGAAATATTTGAATATAGTAACTATGCAATGAAAACTTGAATAGAAATCCTGCAGGATGATCACTAAGTTAAGAAAGACAAGGGATAGGATGATTCCACACAACGAAATTAGCTCAGCTGCTGCTGCTGCTGATGATGATGATGATGACTTCTTTATTTTCTTTTTGGTAGTACCATTAACCGAGGTCAAAGGAGGTGAATGGAAGGATCTAGATTCTCTATGACAAACCTGCATTATCGCTGTCTTCTTCTTTCTGATATGACCAGAAGGAGAAGAACAACTGCTAAATGTTTTCAAGTGTGTATCCATGATTTTGCTGGAAGAGCCCTGACATATATATATATATATATATATATAATATTTGGAGAGTTCAATTTCCTTGGATACGTTATAAGCGTGGGGAAAAAGACAAGGAAAAACGATGCAGGAGAATCATCCCCAATTTCCACCTATTGACGTTGATTACTAGTTGTTCTTTCTTTTATCTTTATTTCTTGTTACCTAAAGGTTGCATCTTGCCGTCTTCATGGTACATTACTACTGGTCTTTGGGACTAGAAAATGGGCAAAATGGCTAGAATCTTATATACAATAAGTTTATGGAAATTTCCAGGAAGATTATTTGTATTTTTTTTTTATCACCTGACGGGAGCTTCGATTTACTTTCACGGAGACGAATAAATCTAATGTGTACAAGACATGATATATACATATATATATATATATGTATATATATACACACATACACACACACACTTGTGCAATATGAACACCAAAAAATTTCTAACTAAAGTTTATTCTTTAATTATGGTTATAAATTTAAGGCATATGCAACAACCATCAAGCCTTAATTGTTATGAATGACTTGAAATTGAAAGAAAAAAGCAATTGAAGCACGGAATAATATTCATTGAGAAAATATTTTCTTCTATCAAAATCTGATTCTGAAGCTAATTAATTAATCTTCTAAGTTCCAATTCTTTTATTCCTTTATTTCTCCATTAACTAAAGTTCAAAACTCCCAATTGGATGCAGGTTGGTATGGAGACAAGTATACCAACTATTAGGTTTATTAGAAGGAACATGTGATGTGAAGGGAAGGAAAAGGAAGCGGAAGGGAATTTGTTATTGTCAATGTATGGAAATTAAGCAAAGGAAAAATAAGGAAAGGAATAATTACTTGTAAGATTCTGTTTTTTTGGTGGTAGCATTTTTCCATAGTTATTGTGGATGAGGACTAGGAATAAAAATACTCGAGTAATTGAACCTGGGCTATTGGCCAAAAAAAAAAAAAAATAGAATTTAATTCAAATAGTTCATTTATATTTTTTAAGAGATAATTTTTTATGAAGATCTATATCAAATTTACGAAATATTATCTGTTTTGACTCAAGCATCTTATAATTTTATTTTATACAAAGTATCTCCCCATAATGAATTATCAAAATATCTTGATGTAGAATTGATGTATTATATTTCCAGCAAAATTGGAATTTAATTTTCATTACTTGTAAATTCTCTTTCCTTAATTTTCCTTTAACCTTTGCTTCACGTATAAAAAAGGAAAGAGTAATTTGAAGAAAGTTAGAGTAAATAGTTGAAGCTTGTAAAAAAGTCATTGGAAATTTCATACGAAACCAAGAGTTTAACTAATTGCAAACACTATATTATATAGTTTCCGTTTAAGTAGCTAATGTCTTTATTCGAATGTCATATGCGAAACCAACATGCTTATGCAATTGCTCGTTCATTTCTTAAAACAAAGCCAAATTAGCCTATTTGTATGTATATGAGAAAATTGGGGTTTGTATACAATAAAGTTATAATATATCAATCTTAGTTTAAAATCATGAGATATCATGATATCTTATGATTTATCATGATAAATTGTAAGAATAATATAATTAAAAAAAAAAAAAGAAAAAAAAGGGAAGAACAAGTTAACAAGTAAACATTTAAAAAATATATACAATTTTATTTAATTTATTAATTTAACAAATAAAAAATGATATATTTTTTAATTTTAT